TAATATCAATAACTTAAATAATTTAATAATAATATTTTTTTAAAATAAAATATTTTAATTTCAAATCGTATGACATATAAATAGAATAAAATAAATGAGATATCGTGTGCCCAATATAAAAAAAGTTCTAAATTTATAACGTGAGTAGGAAAATTTTAAATTCAGTTTATAAATGAAAAAAAAAAAAGATAATTCATTGAAAAAGAAGGGGAAAAAAAGAGAGGGAAATGGAGAGGTATAAATGCGGAGGAAAACCTGCGTGAGACACACGGCTTTCTCTCTTTTTCTGGGAGCCAAACAGTCCCAGTCCAGCCTTCAGAAATTCCTGGTCGTAGACTTTCACGGAAAATGTTTTGAGAAAATTTGATCAATGGCAAAAGGAGGCAAAGAATACTGTAAAATGGAAATGATCGTGGAACGAGAGATATACCCTGCTTGGGCGAGGGATATTGAGGAATGCGAGAAGAACTACACGGTGAATCGGAAATCGGGGTTGACAGCGGCGGACGTTGAGGAGCGGCGCAAGAAATACGGATACAACGAGTTGGACGAGCACGAGGCGCCGTCGATTTGGAGATTGATTTTGGAGCAGTTCAACGACACGCTAGTTCGGATCTTGCTGGCCGCGGCGGTTGTTTCTTTTGTTCTGGCTTGGTGCGATGGCCATGCGGAAGGAGAAAAGGAGATTACAGCGTTTGTGGAGCCTCTGGTGATTTTCTTGATCCTGATTGTGAACGCGATTGTTGGCGTTTGGCAGGAGAATAATGCTGAGAAGGCGCTGGAGGCGCTGAAGGAGATTCAGTCTGAGCACGCGACGGTGATACGCGATGGAGTCAAAATTCCTCACGTATCGGCGAGGGAGCTTGTTCCCGGTGATATCGTGGAGCTTAAAGTCGGCGATAAAGTCGCAGCCGACATGCGTGTTCTGGAGCTGATTAGCTCTACTGTGAGAGTCGAGCAAGGCTCGCTCACTGGAGAGAGCGAGGCGGTTTGTAAAACAACCAAGGCTGTTAACAAAGACGCCGATATTCAAGGGAAGAGATGTATGGTCTTTGGAGGTACTACCGTGGTGAATGGATATTGTATCTGTTTGGTGACACAAACAGGAATGGACACAGAAATTGGGAAAGTACACTCCCAGATTCAGGCGGCATCTCAGTGCGAAGATGATACGCCCTTGAAGAAGAAATTGAATGACTTTGGAGAGGCCCTTACAATTATAATTGGAGTGGTCTGTGTGTTGGTGTGGATAATCAATGTGAAGTACTTTTTCAGTTGGGAGTATGAGAAGGGCTGGCCGAAAAATTTCAAGTTCTCATTCGAGAAATGCACTTACTATTTCGAGATAGCTGTGGCTTTGGCTGTTGCAGCAATTCCTGAGGGATTGCCTGCTGTTATCACTACATGCCTGGCACTTGGTATAGGCAAAATGGCTCAAAAGAATGCACTTGTGAGGAAGCTCCCAAGCGTTGAGACATTGGGGTGTACTACTGTGATTTGTTCTGACAAAACCGGGACCTTGACCACCAATCAGATGGCTGTGGCGAGGCTTGTGGCTATGGAGACTACTTCTGATAGGCTGCGGAGCTTTAAGGTTGATGGAACTACTTACAATCCCTCTGATGGGGAAATACATGACTGGCCAAGTGATGGGATGGACGCAAATCTTCAAACCATTGCAAAGATTTCTGCTATATGCAATGATGCCGGAGTTGTGCAATCAGAGCATAAGTTTGTATCTCATGGAATGCCTACTGAGGCTGCTCTAAAGGTAAGATACTTGAATTTTGGTTGCTTATCTTATTGATATTTCTTTAAGCCTATGTCCTAATTTCTGTAATTACATATTATTTATCATGAAGAAAATAGAAAACAACCTATTAAGGGGAAAGTTTCATTGACAAATCTGGCTACTATCATTCCAGGTTCTAGTTGAGAAAATGGGTGTCCCAAATGGATGTCATACTGGTGGATTAAGTGGCACTGACATTCTACGTATGTGAATGGCTTTTGTGGGTGTGTGTGTGTGTGTGTTTTCCTCTTTAATTTTATGTTCCAGCTTTAAAATTTTTTTAAACTAATTGTGTTTCACATATTCTGCTTCAAAGGCTGTTCTCGGTGGTGGAATGAATATGAACCAAGGATTGCAACTCTTGAATTTGATCGTGATAGGAAATCCATGGGGGTAATTGTCACTTCCCGTTCAGGGAAAAAATCTTTGTTAGTGAAGGTAAATATCTATATCTTCCTCTTTTTGTATTTGTTTTGTATATAACAAGCTGAAATTTTTGATTTTAGAAGTCTTCCTTGTCTTGTCATAGTTAAGAGAGCAAGCTTGCATTTCTTTAATTTGCTTATTTTCACTATGAGAAATTTTTAGTACTTTTGCTATTGAGTTAAAAAAGTGTTGCAAATGAGTGTCAAACATTGAAACAAAGGTTGTCAAGAATGACTCTATTGCCAAATCGCATGGCTGCAGTTCTGCCTTTTATAATATTTGATTTTTTTAAAAATAAAAACTCCTCTGCAGTATCAACTACTGTTTTAATTTCTCTATCTCTTCTAGAATACTTCAGAGGTTTACATGAAGTGCTTGATTTGGCAGGGAGCTGTAGAAAATTTATTGGAGAGAAGCTCCAATATGCAGTTGCTTGATGGTTCTGTTGTACCTCTGGATCATGATTCTAGGAACCTTATCTTAGGTTCTCTTCATGAAATGTCAAGTGCTGCTTTGCGATGCTTGGGTTTTGCATACAAAGATGAGCTCCCAGAGTTTGAGACCTATGATGGTAGTGAAGATCATCCATCCCATGAGTTTTTACTTAACCCTTCCAACTATTCTTGGATTGAGAGCAATCTCACTTTTGCTGGCTTGGTTGGTTTGAAGGCAAGTTTTGAGTATTGGTTGCCCACTGATTTTCCATATTCTTTCTTTTTTTCTTATCATGAACTAACTCTGCATGTTTGTGCCTCTAAATTTCAAAGGATCCTCCTCGTGGAGAGGTTTTCCAAGCAATTGAGGACTGTAGAGCAGCTGGAATTCGTGTAATGGTTATCACTGGAGATAACAAGAGTACAGCAGAAGCCATATGCCGTGAAATAGGTGTTTTTGGACCAGAAGAAGACATAAGCTCAAAAAGCCTAACCGGGAAAAAATTTATGGAAATGGGGGTGCGTGGCCAGAAAGCCCATCTGAGACAGAGTAGTGGCCTTCTCTTTTCCAGAGCTGAACCAGGGCACAAACAAGAGATTGTCAGATTGCTAAAAGAAGATGGAGAGGTGGTTGCCATGACAGGTGATGGTGTAAATGATGCACCTGCCTTGAAACTGGCTGATATAGGAATTGCCATGGGCGTTGCTGGAACGGAGGTATTTTGTCATATCTATTTTTCAGTCATTCTTCTAGACTTAGTTGGAACATTCATCACATCATGCTTAGCAGAAAATAAATGAGGGGAGAATTTGGCCGGGGACTGGGGAAGATCACTTGCTTATCTCTCCTTTTTCTTTACCACATTATTTTTCACGGTAAACACGGGCCTTTTTTTTTTTTATGTTTGTTTCACTTCTTGGCAGGTTGCAAAAGAAGCTTCTGATATGGTACTGGCAGATGATAATTTCAATACCATTGTTGCTGCTGTTGGTGAAGGCAGATCTATTTACAATAACATGAAAGCATTCATCAGGTTTGTTCTAATAATTAGCCACTCTGTGAAAATTGATGTTCTACAGATGTAGTGTAGTGCACATATGGCTAAGCTTTGTATATGAAGAAATTATATAAGATTATCACCCATAGTTGTAATCTTCTCCCCTCTACACCTTCATTCTTTAGTTCCTTTTTGAAGAAGTTAAGAGACAGAGTTCACGTACCTTATCAATTGAAACATATTTCAGGTACATGATCTCTTCAAATATTGGCGAGGTAGTCTCCATCTTTCTAACTGCAGCTTTAGGAATTCCTGAAGGTCTGATACCTGTCCAGCTTCTATGGGTAAATCTCGTCACTGATGGACCGCCTGCAACAGCTTTAGGATTCAATCCTCCAGATGAGGATATAATGAAGAAACCCCCTCGCAGAAGTGAAGATCCACTAATCACTGCTTGGATTCTGTTCCGCTATCTGGTATGAGTCCTCTTCAGTTTCTTCCACTTGGCATTTAGTTTGGCCTGATCTTGTTGTGCACATTCCCTGTTAGCGTTTTATTAGGACTGAGTTTACTCGTCTACCTTTTCATCTCCTTGCACACAGGTCATTGGACTATATGTCGGGATAGCAACTGTTGGTATATTCATTATTTGGTACACATGTGGTTCCTTCTTAGGCATAGACCTCAGCAGCGATGGTCACACCCTTGTCACCTACTCGCAACTTGCGAACTGGGGGCAATGCTCAACCTGGGAAAATTTTACTGTTTCCCCTTTCAAAGCCGGGACTCAGGTTTTCACTTTTGACAATAACCCCTGTGATTATTTCCAAGGCGGCAAAGTAAAAGCAAAGACTTTATCCCTCTCTGTGTTGGTTGCAATCGAAATGTTCAACTCTCTCAATGCCCTTTCCGAGGATGCCAGCCTCTTCAAAATGCCTCCATGGCTCAACCCCTGGCTCCTGGTAGCCATGTCTGTTTCATTTGGTCTGCACTGTCTGATCCTCTACGTGCCTTTCCTAGCGCATGTATTTGGCATTGTGGCCTTGAGCTTCAAAGAGTGGCTCTTGGTCTTGGTTGTTTCCTTCCCCGTGATTTTGATCGATGAAATCCTCAAGTTCATAGGTAGGTACATGAGCGGGGTTCAAACATCTATCAAAAGAAGATTTTCTTCGAAGCCCAAATCAGAGTGAGAGGAGAATACGGCCTTTTGTTATATTCTATCAAGAAACTATGTTCCCCAATGGGCCCAATCTCACTGCAACGGGGGACAATATGGGCGATGAAGAACTTACCGTACTGTACCTTTTTCACCATCTCCCTCGTCAATGTCTAGGTTTTTATTTTTAAAAAAAAAAATCACCCTTTTACGTTTTTGTTGTATAAATACAAAATATTATAAAGAAGTATTATTATGCAAATATATGGCCGTTAACTGGAGATGTTGATTTTTTTCTTTTTTGATACATTAGAAATTTGCTACTTAGTATGGCTACAGTTAAAATCCTTTAACTAAATTAATACTTTTTTTTAGCACATATTAATTCAGTTAAGTTTATAAGTAGACATGGTAAAAATTCACTTGATCAGTCAACTCAATCTGTCAATTCGATCTTAACCCGACCTGTAAAAATAGGTGAGGGTTTACATATCTCAATTCGTAACTCGTAGATAACTCGTATTATCAACCTGTACGGGTCACGAGTTGAATTAGAGTAACCTACAGGTTAACAGGTTGACCCATTTGTTTTATTTATTATTATTATTATTTTTAAATATTATACTTATTATTCTTAATTAATTTTCTTATTATGAACTACTTCTATTAATTCATACTCCTTAATTTTCAGAGAAAGACGAAGAAATTATGATGAGTTTGATCTAATTGTCCAAGTATCATTTTTTTTTATTATTAACAATCACCCAAGTATCATAAATAAAATGATAATACAACTAAAAATATTAAAAGTGTGATGCTATGATATAAATATAATAACTTAGTGAAAGATGTTCTTGGAAGAGCAATTTTATCATTAAAAAATGGCTTAAACTACTTGATAATGTTTTAAGATGATTATAGAATTAAAACTTTATTTTTCAAGAAATTTAAATAATTTATGTTTAATATTGTTATTGTTAATCAACTTATTATTATTTATAATTTTATGATTTTTTTCTTAATTTAATTATTTGTGGTTGAGACTATAAAATATTTAGATTTAATGAATTATAATACGTTAATTAGATTTAGAAATATATAATTTTATTTGTATATAATAAAAATTAATAAAAAATAATTATAAAGAATAAAAATAAGGTCAACCTGTGAGTTAACCCGTAATTTGTTAAGGTTGAACTTTTATAACCCGCAACTTGTTCATGACTCAATCCGTATAACACATCATCCAAATTAACCCAAACTGAACTCGACCAGCCTCACGGTTCACCAGGTCTATAACTATAAGCAATTAAAAGTGTTAATAATTTTAAAAGTAAGAAATATTAATAAATAAATATTATTTTATAAATTAAATTTATAATTCAAATTTTAATATTAATATCAAAATAAAATAATTTTTTAAATACAATAAATCATTTTCGAGGATACACTCTTAACATAAGTCCAAAAAAAATATTTTCAAGATAAAAGAAATCTGATCCAAAAACACACTAAACATATAAAAAAAACAAAAATGGAAAAAGACACTAGAAAAGTTGATGCTTCCAAGACATTATGGAATTTAAAGAGAAAAGGCCGAAACAGAAATGAATATTTTGCCGTCCCGAACAATCATTGTCATAGAAGAAAATGAAAAACAGGGTTGAGGGT